ACCCACGTCTCAGACGTCATAATTAGATCAAGTCTCTACCCTTAATCCATCAACAATTAACACTAAGACTTCAGAGTTTAAACATCTGGATGAGCTTTGGGGAGGCAAGTCCTACTGCACCTATGAAAGTGGAATTTAATTTTTCCCCATATAAATGTGCAAATGACCCAGTACAATTTTTTGATGCCTGCAACATCACCTTTGAAATAAATCAAGTGTTTGTATTTGTCTAGGTCTGTGTATGGACTCTCTTCTCTGTTTTATTGGTTTTTTTTTTTTCCTACTCTTTAACATTTATTTATTTATTTGAAAGGCAGAGTTACAGAGGGAAAGGCAGAGAGAGAAAGATCTTCCATCCACTGATTCACTCTCCAAATGGCCACAAAGGCTGGCTCTGGGCCCAAATTAAGCCAGGCGCCTGGAACTCCAGCCAGGTTTCCCATGAGAGTGGCAGGGAACCAAACACCTGGGCCATCTTCTGCCCCTTTTTCAGGAGCATTAGCGAGTAGCTGGATCGCGAGTAGAGCAGCTGGGACTTGAATTGGTGTCCATTCTCTGTTTTTTTCTGATTTCAGTGGAAATGTTTTGAATATCTTCTTATTAACTATGATGGTGGCTCTATGTTCTTTATAGAAACTCTATCAGGTTAAGGAAGTTCCCTCTTTTCTTACTTTCTTAAGGTTTCTTTTTTTTTTTTTTCTTATAAACCTGTGATGAATACTTTCTTTATAGCTGTGGAGATGATTATATGAAAGTTCTCCATTGTCTGTTTAAGTATTAAATTATAAGAACTCAGTTTCTAATGTTAAATTTCACATTTCTGTGATAAAGTAATATCTGTTGTGTTGTATTATCCTTTAATGCATATAAGAGTACTTCATCAAGTTTGTGGAAAGACGGAATTAAAAGTTAAGTTTATTTTGGTGTAAAAAAACTTGAAAGCCATCCAAATGAGAGTCCTCAAAAATTTCATGGAAAATGTCTATTTTAAAACCTGCATGGATTTCAAAAATATTTGCACCAAAATAAACACCTTTTAATTCCATTTTTCCACAGACTTTCTTTTTTTAAGACTTTATTTATTTATCTGAGAGGCAGAGTTAGAGAGAGAGGGAAAAGCAGAGAGAGAGAGAGAGAGAGAGAGGTCTTCCATTTGCTAATACACTCCCTAAATGGCTTCAATGGCTGGAGTTAGGCTGATCTGAAGCCAGGAGCCAGAAGCTTCTTCCAGGTCTCCAACATAGGTGTAGGGGCCCAAGCATTTGGGCCATCTTCCACTGTTTTTCTCGGGTGCATTAGCAGGGAGCTGGATTGGAAGAGGGGCAGCCAGGACACGAACCGGTGCCCATATGGGATCCTAGTGCTGCAGGTGGAGGCTTAGCGACACCAGCGCTAGTCCCATTCTACAGACTTTTAAAGTACTCTCATTTTACTAGATTTGGTTAGCTTGTTATTTGTTAAGGATTCATTTATCGTTTCCATGACAGAGATTAGTCTATAAATTTCTATTCTTGTAATGTCCTTGTCAGACTTGGAAATCAAGGCTTTCTGGTCTCATCAAACTAGTTAGAAGGAGCTGGCGCTGTGGCGCAACGGGTTAATGCCCTGGCTTGAAGTGCTGGCATCCCATATAGGCGCTGATCTAGTCCTGGTTGCTCCACTTCCAATCCAGCTCTCTGCTATGGCCTGGGAAAGCAGTAGAAGATGGCCCAAGTCCTTGGGCCCCTGCACCCATGTGGGAGACCTGGAAGAAGCTCCTGGCTCCTGGCTTTGGATTGGCGCAGCTCCAGCCATTGCAGCCAACTGGCGAGTGAACCATCGGATGGAAGACTTCTCTCTCTCTCTGCCTCTCCTCTCTCTGTGTAACTCTAACTTTCAAATAAATAAATAAATCTTAAAAAAAAAAACTAGTTGGAAATGTTGCCTGACCTCTGCTCTTTGAAAAAGTTTGTATAACTGACAAATCCAGTCTGGACTAGAGTTTCTTTGTTTGGGAAGATTTTTGAATTATGGATTCAATTTTCTTAGTAAATTGTATTAGGTTCCTAAAACAAATTAACACAGTGTAAATTCATTGGCTTATAGTTTAGTGGGTTAGAAATCCAACACGGATCTCACTGGGCTGAAACCAGGGTGTTGGTGGTGTCTCTCTTTGGAGGCCCCAGTAAGATTCGTGCTTTACCTTTTCTGGATCCGAGGTCGTCCCCTTGGCTCACAGTCCCCTTCCTCGCTCCTCACTGCCAGCCAGCGTTGCACCTCTCACCATTCTTCTCCAGTCACATCTTCCTCTGACTACAGAGTGGGAAGGTCTTGCCACCTCTAAAGGTCCTAACTGGACAATCCAAGATAATCTCTCAACTCAAGGTCCTTAACTGCATCTTCAAAGGTTCACAGGATTAGGACATAGACAATTTTGAGAGACCATTATTCTAAGTAACACACAGATATGTAAGTTAAATTTAAAGTTTATGCAGAACTCATTCTTTTTATTTCAATATGATAAATTGTTTTTTAAAGGATCTGTCCATTTCTTATATATTATCAAATTTATTAGCCTATTATTATGTATAATGGGCTTTTTCTATAGGATCTGCATTTTGATGCTATTTTTCTTTATTTAGATCTTATATGGATAATTTTAATTGCTGAATATTTAATTTTTATTTATATAAAGGGAACAAATTTTGTGTATTTCATCTATACAGTTTATGCTATATGGATAATTTATGCCACATTTTTTCTTTCTTCAATCAGTCTTGCTAAGGTCTATAATTTTGTCTATTTAGTATTTTTTTTTTACAGGCAGAGTTAGACAGTGAGAGAGAGAAAGAGACAGAGAGAAAGGTCTTCCTTTTGCCGTTGGTTCACCCCCAAGTGGCTGCTATGGCCAGTGCGCTGCGGCGGGCGTGCTGTGCCAATCCAAAGCCAGGAGCCAGGTGCTTCCTCCTGGTCTCCCATGTGGGTGCAGGGCCCAAGGACCTGGGCCATCCTCCACTGCACTCCCGGGCCACAGCAGAGAGCTGGACTGGAAGAGGAGAAACTGGGACAGAATCTGGCGCCCCAACCGGGACTAGAACCCTGGGGTGCCGGGCGCAGCAAGCAAAGGATTAGCCAAGTGAGCCACACGCTGGCCTATTTAGTATTTCAAAAGAAACAAATTTCAACTGTGTTGATTTTATCTATTGTAAGATTGCCATCTATTTCCTTATTTATTTTTATTATACCTCTTATTTCTGTCATTATTCTTTTTGAGGGTTTGATTTATGGTTCTTTCCCTAGTTTCTTGAGATACATATTTGGTCACTGATTTTTAACTTTTCTACTTTTTTCAAAAAGGATTTCTGTATTCTATTTGAAAGACAGAGTGACATGGACTGAGAGGAGAGCAAGAGAGAGAGAGAGAGAGAGAGAGAGAGAGAGTTCCATCTGTTGGTTCATCCCCAAATGGCTCCACAGTCAGGACTGGACGAGGGTAAAACCAGGAGCCAGGAACTTTGCACAGGGCTCCTGTGTGGGTGGCAGGAACACATGTACTGGGGCCATCCTCTGCTGCCTCTTAGGCATATTAGAAGGAAGCTCCATTGGAAGTGCAGAGTACCCAGGACTCAAACCAGGCACTGTTGTATGAGATGTAGGTGTCCCACGTGGCTGCTTAATCCCTGGCACCACAATGTCCACCCCTCTTTCTTCTTTTTTAAGTGCATTCTTGTAGAGCTTTACGTTTCACCTAAGTATGGTTTTAACTTTATAAATTTCTGAGGTTGTAACTTCTTTATCTTTTGAGCCAAAAATACTTTATAATATCCACTGTGCTTTTTTCCCCCTTTAACACATGAGTCATTTAGCTAAATTTTTTCCCCTGTAACTCTTGTGTCATTAGGAGTGTGTTTCTAAATTTCTATCACTTGGAGATTTGATTTTCTTGTTATTGATATCCAACTTAGTTCCACTGTATTAGGAAACATTCCCTCTGTGACTTTCGTCCTTCCCATGAATGGATTGAGACTTGCTTTATAACTTACCATATGGCCATATGTCCCATATGCCCTTGGGAAGAAAAATGTATATTCTGCAACAGTTGGATAACATGTTCTGTATTTCAGTTAGGTTATTGTTAATTGTGTTATCCAAGTCTATTTACATTTTATTTCTTTTTTTTTAGTTTTTGAGATAAATATGTGAAAATATCTCACCAAGAATGTGGGTTAGGGTGTGATAATTTGTGCAATTTATATTTTGAGACTATGTCATTGGGTACATTACCTATTTGGAACTACTTTTCCTAGCAATGCTTCTTTCTTTTCAAATATTTTCCCAATATTAATGTAGCTACATCTTTCGTCTTTTGGTTAGTGTTTCTATGGCCTTTTTCTATCCTTTCATTTTCAACATTTCTTTTTTCTTATACAGATGGTGTCCCATACAAATAGTGCATAGTTTTGCTTTTTTTTTTTTGTTTCTGAAGCCTGGTCTGATACTATTTTGCATGGACTTAGTTTGTGTTTAATATAATTGTAGATATATTTGGATCAATTCTGTCATCTCTCTTTGCTTACTATTTGTTCTTCCTAACTTACTCTTTTTTGTGCACTTATGTCCTTTCTTTGAGTTCATCTGATTTTTTTTTACTGCTTTCTTTCTCCCTCTTTTTGCTTATTTGTTCTATATACTTTTTACTGCTCTTTTAGAACAATAATCCTGTAATCTGAAAATAAGTGGTGGTATACCAATATTTATACTGATGGTTTAATTTTATTTTCTTGTTGTTTGGGCTAAAACTTGTCAAACAGTGTTGAGTAATGAAAGAAATAGTAGGCATATTTTTCTTGTTACTGATTTTAGTATGACTGATGTGATTTCTTTCTAAGCGGGTCTGGGGGTCTCTTGCTTGTGAATGGCCATGAGCCAAGACAGCCATGCTCCAGGAGATCCCAGAGCAGGAAAGAGTCGGGCCCAGTGTGTTGGACAAGAGATACACAGAGGCAACAGCAAACCAGAACGCGGGGAATCACAGGAGCATTTTATTACTCACAGGTCCAAGAGGAAGAGAGTGTCCACAAGGGCTGGCGAGAAGACCAGAAAAGCAGCATACTCAACCGGTAGGGAAGGACCTGTGGCACTAAAGCTTTTGTTGGAGTCCAGGAAGTAACCCAACCAAGTTTTTACTTGGTGTACGTAGAGCAAGCAGGCACGTTTCACAGAGTCACTCTGTGACTTCAAGGTGCCCCAAAGCTTCACAATTCATCCCTGGTTTCAAAGCAAGTGAGTCAAGTCAGGTACGTAGCATCTGCATATCCCACAGGAGGAGGGTCCCCAGGAAGCACTTGCATAAGGTAAGTAGATGGGTTGACCAAACTGAGGAAGCTGGAGGCGGTATAGAGATGGAAATTGTGTTTAGGGTAACTGAGCTCTTCTGCTTTAAGAACGTCCAACTTACACTCAAAAGTGATTCCAAGGCAATATAAAACTGTAAGAATTCACTCTAACTCACCCCTTGGTGCCTAAGCACCATATCTTAAATGCAAGCCAGTTGTAGTTTGAGTTCTGGAGATTCTGGTCATCAGGAGAAAGAATGTTTATGGTTTCATGTTCAAAGCCACACGCAGGAGGTCACAGTAGAAAGCTGAGGTTGATAACAGGAGAAAGCATCAGGGAGTGGCTGTCCTCTCTCTGGGGGGTGAAAGCGTTGAGTGCCCCCCTCCCAGGGAAAGCAATAATCTCTGTTAACTATAATATCCTCCACCACCTGGACCAGAGTTTCCTTTAGGCATGGAAGATTGCGGGAGCGGGTGTACATTTGAGGAGAGCAAGAAGTTCACCAGGAACATGGCCTAAGAGAGAGCAGGTTGAGGAAGAAAAGCAGAAAAGCCTGTTTTGTGTCCATTTTGTGCCATAGGAGAAGCAGTTTGTGGGCATCACTGGGTGGAGGTTTTGGTGTAAGAAGTGAAGTTGCCTCTGGCCCAGTAGGCGAAGTCTTCTCCAACAGCGAGGTAAGGGTTGGGCTGAGTTCCAGGGCAGTGTCTTCTCCAGCAGTGAGAGTTTGGGTCAGGTGGAAGTCATCCGGGATGTGGGACTGGAGTCCTTTTTCAGTGGGAAGCCTCTTCAGTGGATGTGGGCCTCCTGACTGTGCACCAGTGGAAGTGCCCAACCCTGTGGTAATGAGACCTGCCGTCGACAGAATGGCGTGTAGTTGCATCTGACAGGGTTGTGTGTATTTGTTTGCTTTTCTGGTGGAAGTTTGGTCTTCAATGGGTCCCCTATCAGATGAGCCGTTGCCTGGCCTGTGGAATAGCTATGTTTAGGGCTCCTATGGAGTATATGTGACCTCAATTCTGGTTTCCTGCCCTTGTAGGGTGGGGATAAGACTGAAAATTTGTAAAGGTAGGTTAAGACCGGGGGCCAAATAGAAGCTTATTTGGGAGTTTACTTGTTGGACCAGAATGTGCAAAGGGAAACCAGCGTGTCTTTGAGTTAAAGCGGTCACTGGGGATCTACCACAGACATGAGAGTTCTACCATATCTTTTTTCAAGAGCTCAGCATTGTGTACTCTCTGAAGTGAAGAGAGTTTCTCAGTGGTCTCTGGAACTCTGAAGGAAACAGGTGTGTCTGGCAAGGTCTTGTATGGTGGTCTTGGCACAGGTGAAGACATGTGTGATTTAGATTTGTGTCTTGGGTATCTGTGAGTGTTCTTACCTTAAAGGGGACGTTATTTAGGAAATGACTCAAAACTGTCCCATAAGCATGAAGATGGGACCATTTGTTGACCAGGGCAGCCAGAGCTAAGATGACTGACTGGAGTTTGGTCAAATGTGTTGTTTTGGGGATCCCACTCTGGCTTGGGATGGAAAAAGAGCAACATGACATTACGCTCCCTCCTGCACGATGCTGAACAGTGCATTTCCTGTCCAAGCACCCCATGATTGCTCACTCAGTGAACCCCAAGGAGCTCCCCAGGAGGTCTAGGGGGCTGGAGAAGGGTGATCTCCCCCAGTGCCCTGGCCACTGGCAAGGTGCAGAGGAAGTCACCCATCCTGTTCCATCCTCTCTTAAGGAGGCCTTGGTGGCTGTGCCGAGCTTGTGGTGTGCTTCTTCTATGACCCCAAGCACAGTGGTGGCTGAGTTTGGAGGGCCACAGGCTCAGGGACCATGGAAATGTCTGTTTCCAAGAGAGCCCAGCGGGTAGCCAGTCACTGTTGTTTGAATGGTAAGCAGCATGAGGCCAAAATGGACAGCGTCTTGTGTCAGAAGTCCCGGGGCATCCTAAGGAAGCAGAGAATCCAAGAGGTAAGAGAAGAGACTGTCTGGGGCAGGGTCCCAGTGTGGTGCTCCTGGGAGTTTCCTGACACCCCACCACCACCACCGCTATTCCCTAATTCATAAGAGAGAGTGTAGGGAAGACTCAAGAGACCAGGGGACTGGTTTTCAGAACAAGTTATTTTATTTGGTGTAGAGCTGTCAGCCAGACAATGCCTAGCACATGCTGAGGAACACACACACACACATGCACGCACACACACACACGCACAAATGCACATATACACGCATGCACACACACACACGCACACACACGCAAATGCATTCCAAAACCATTGTGCCTGCCCATAGTGGCACCCACATCCTGACCGTTGTCCTCGTAAGTTAGCCTTTTTAACTTGAGACATTGTCTGATGCTTTGTCGTACGAGATAGGGGAGCTGCCTTCACAATGATGTGTCAAAGATTTACACTTTTTCTTTTTAATGTATTTATTTGAGAGACAGAGTTACAGACAGAGCGAGGGAGGGAGAGAGAGAGAGAGGCAGAGAGGAAGAGAGAGAGAGAGAGAGAGAGGTGCCTTCCATCTGCTGGTTCACTCCCCAAATGGTCGCAGTAGCCAGAGCTGTGCCAATCTGAAGCCAGAAGCCAGGAACTTCTTCCGGGTCTCCCACGCGGGTGCATGTGCCCTTATGGGATGCCGGCGCCACAGGTGGAGGCTTACCATACGATGCCACAGCGCCGGCCCCTAAGATTCACACTTCTGGGCCTGGTGGGACCACGCAGCTCTGGTTGTCTCCTTACTTTGCTCAGGCTGGGCCTCTTCATAGTGTTCATGATGAGCCAGGCTGTACAGAGCCTTTTAATAAGCTTCTGTATTCCTGCGGTCATTGTGTCTTTGTCATCTTATTCATTCTGTAACCAAAGCTAAATGCACAGACCCCAGCCACCCTTGTAGCTCAGTCAGCATGTGGAGGGGGCAACTTGACCATGGTTTTCAGAAGACAATAGGAAATAGCACATGAGCAGCAGGCAGTTTAGCTGCCTAACAGCCATTTCCACTCCTGCCCGCTCTCTCTCTCTCTCTCTCTCTCTCACTCTCTTTGTTTATTTATTTTATCTGAAAGGCAGAGTTACAGAGAAAGAGGGAGAGGAGATCTTTCATCCACTGGTTCAGTTCCCAAATGATTGCAACAGCTAGAGCTAGGTGAGGCCGGAGCCAGGAGCCCAAGCACTTCGTCCATTTCCCGCTGCTTTCCCAGGCGCATTAGCAGGGAGCTGGATTGGAAGTGGAGCAGCTGGGACTAGAACTGGCGCCCGTATGGGATGCAGGTGCTGCAGGCGGTGGCTTTACAGGCTAGTCCCCATTTCCCCTTGGACATAGTGAGAGTGAGAAATCAGGGCCTGTGCTGTGGTGTGAGATATCAAAAAAGGCACCAAAAAGGTGGGAATAAACAGGCTGAAAAAACATAAACTGTTACTGGTCTAAGCAATCATGGGAATCTTAATTCCCTTTGCCAAACGGCCACGTCCCAGCCTGTCTTAAAGTGACAGTGGCCAGTGATTTCTTTCCTACCATGGGCATGGGAGAAAACCTCGGCAAAGTTTCCTTCTTAATGAACAGAAAGATGTTTGCCATTTGCCACTCTTTTTCTCATTTTGGAATGATATGTGAAAACCTAATGCCAGGAGCTGTGGCAGCCATATTGTGACAATGAGGCAACAACTGTACAAATGAGAAACCAGCATACTGAGAATACTGGAGTTGAAGGATGAAAAGTATCAGGACCCTTGATCACATTTTTTAGTTTCTGATCAACTCTGAACTACTGCTTTGGAATCTTTCTTTGAAAAAAGAAACGTTCTTGTAGTTTCAGGCACTCTTTCTGGCAGGCGAACCTGTGCTGATGCCTGCATGCCTGGCGTGGCCGATGAGGTGAAAGGTCGTTTTTCTGAAGGGCAGCCTCATCATGTAGGAACTGCCAAGCTTCAGACCGACAAATTCATTTCAAGAGTTGACCAGAGGGGAACAACTTGCACTTATGCTTCACCTGGTGGAAGGTGGTCCCTCCAGATGATGGACACACTGGCATCACAGAGCGGGCAGAGAGAACCAACCAGAATCTGTACCTCACCATACCCTGAGAACAAGTCACGTAATACACCTTTCTCTGTTTTTGTTGTTGTTGCTGTCAAGATAAACTATATTGGTACTAGTTCTTATATTTTTTTGACAATAACCTACAGAAAAAAAAAAGAATTAGACTCATGAACAAGGCTTCTCAAAGAGCTGTAGATAGGGGCTGTAGCCGGTAAAGCTGCTGCCTGCGGTGCCGGCATCCCGTATGGGCGCTGGTTCAAGTCCTGGCTGCTCTACTTCCTATCCAGCTCCTTGCTGTGGCCTGGCAAAGCAGAAGAAGATGGCCCAAGTCTTTGGGCCCCTGCACCGAAGTGGGAGACCTGGAAGAAGCTCCTGGCTCCTGGCTTCGGATCGGCTCAGCTCCGGCCGTTGCAGCCAACTGGGGAGTGAACCAGTGGATGGAAGACCTCTCTCTCTCTCTCTCTTACTTTCTCTCTGCCTCTGCCTCTCTGTAACTCTGCTTTTCAAATAAATAAATAAATCTTTAAAAAAAAAAAAGAAAACAGAAAGAATGTTGTGTTACCTGTGCGAATTCCGAGAAACTACCTTGCCAAGGGGTTGCTTGTTTTGGTGAAGTTATTGGTGTTTTTTGGTTTTTGGTTTTTTTGATTAATTATGGGCAGGATATCTGGCACGGAGGAACTGAAAACTGCAGCAAGGACACAAGACAGGATCTTCCTTTATGAATAGAGTCTATAAAAAGTAGCAGGACCGGCCGTGTTTTAGCTCAGCGGGGGCTGGATGATTGATGTCCATGTGTGGAATTACTTAGGACAGAGAAGCCCCGAAGGCACAGCTGCTGGACCATTGTGATCGAATCTAATTGTCTGGCTCAGGCCCTAGCTTTGGGGCTGGAGGAATGGAGTATCCTCCAGAGCAAGGGATGCAAACTGAAGTGCTGACGCCGTGGCAGCCAGTGGTTACACAACAAGGACCACTCACACGTGCCAAGGCGTGAGCCAAGGGCTTTGCCTGCATCGTTCCTTTAGATGTTCACATATTCTATGAAGCAGATACCGCTATTTGCTCCCATGTAGAAAATAAAAGAGACCTAGACACAGAGGCTGATTAATTTGTCTCAGGTTCCAGGGCCGGAAAGTAGCAGAGCTGGGAAGAAAGCCCAGTGTGGTTCCAGACCACGTTCTTAACCACGGTGGCATGCTCGGGCAATGTCCTGAGTGAGGCTGCCCAGAGAAGGGGCCCCCGGGCAAACTGGAGGTGAAGGTCCCGAGGACAGAGCGAGCTCCCGGCCAGCGCCCACTGCTGCACTGGGACACCGTAACAAGTCCTCGCACAATTTTTAAAACACAAGTACTTCTCACATAGTGTGTGGAATGCATTTACACTAAAAATTATTCACTATTTGAAATTCAGGTTGAACTGGGGATCCTGTGTTTTTGTGGGTTAAGTCTGGCGACTCTACTGCATGGACAAGAGGGAACTTGGAAAATGTAAACCGATTTTTTTTTTTTTGATCACGCTGTGACAAAGCCAGAGACTGTGTAATCACTGATGGAAAACTGGAAAGATAGAAATCCAATGTCAGAAGTGGCCCTCGCTGAATGGCAGTACTGCAGTGATGTTAACTCCGGCATTGTTCTATGTTAGACAATCAATACGGTGTTTGATGAGAATTAATATGTAATTAAAGAGAAAATAGTGTGGTTTCTCCAATGAAGAGATCCAGAGACCTTCCTCAAAGGCGTACTGGTCAGATCAGGCTAGCTGTTAGGGCACACAGCCTCAACACTCCAGTGGCCTAGCCCAGCAAAAGTGTATTTCTCCCCCACACAAAGTCAAAATGAGTATTTAAGAGCAGTGAGCTCCTCTCCTTCACATGGGATTCAGGGGCCAGGATGCTAACATCTGTGGCTCCTCTATCTTCAGCCCGTGGCTTCCAAAGATGTCAGGGCTTGTTTCCACCTCCATCTAGCCCCAGGAAACGGGGAAGGGAAGGTGGAAGGCCACTGAGTGAGAAGACTTTATGACCCTCAATCAGTACATCATCAATTCCATACATCAGTTTAATCCATAGTACAGTCGCCGGAATTCACACAGTGCTTTCTGCTACCGAGGAAATGAATGAAACACTTGAACAAACTCAAAGTGTGGCTGTTCCCAGTATGTTTCATGGCTACTTGATAAGTTATTCTGAAAATCCTCTAGAAGTAAAACTATTCTCAAAAGAAAAAAAATGATAGCAATGAAAAATTGTGTGGAGGAAGGTACCTTCAGAATCATATCTGAGAATATATTAAAAACTTACAATGTTAAAATCAGAATGAGAGAGAGAGAGAGAGAGAGAGAGAGAGGATAAATAGCCCAGAAAGTGACATAATTTTTTTTTGACAGGCAGAGTTAGACAGTGAGAGAGAGAGAGACAGAGAGACAGAGAGAGACAGAGAGAAAGGTCTTCCTTCCGTTGGTTCACCCCTAAATGGCCACCATGGCCATCGCTGTGCCGATCCGAAGGCAGGAGCCAGGTGCTTCTCCTGGTCTCCCATGGGGTGCAGGGCCCAAGCACTTGGGCCATCCTCCACTGCACTCCCAGGCCACAGCAGAGAGATGGACTGGAAGAGGAGCAACCAGGACAGAACCGGCGCCCCAACCGGGACTAGAACCTGGGGTGCCGGCACCGCAGGTGGAGGATTAGCCTAGTGAACTGCGGCGCTGGCCAGAGAGAGGATAAATAGCCCAGAAAGTGACATGATTTTTAACTAGAAGTCACCTCCAGTGATAGAAATAGACCTCCCCTCTCTGCTGCGCCCCAGGACAAAGTAGCAAAAGCTTCCATCTAGTGCTCACTGCTTCCCCTTCTGTTTGAGAACAGGGAAAGTCGGATAATTAAACATGGGGAAACCTGCTCT